CTTTAATATACGCCTATATTTTATCTTAATCCGGTTCTGAATTGCTACTAATCTTAATTCTGACATGCATAAAATGTTGGCGCAAATTCCTCAAATTATAATATAAGAAACTGATTTGGTTTTCTTTGGTTCCGAGACTTTTTAAGCCAAGGCTTGTGTGCCACTCTGGGTATGTTTTCAGATGACCGTTCATTTGGGGCAAGCGTCACTGGGTGGACGGTGCCAGCATGCTTTCAAACGAGATTTTGCAGAATGTGCGTGGGCAGGTCATTCCAGATATCACAAACACTACGTGGAAGTGCGGCTGTGGTTTGTTTGTTTGTTTGTTTGTTTGTTTTTTTTTTTTTTGTAAGTGTCAAAACTGTAAACGGGTTTTTATTTCTTTTAAACTTTACTGTTACATTAAAACGGGCATACAACAAACATTATTCTTGAAAGTGAGCCTCCTGAGGCAAAATAAATGATATATTGTAGGCCTAAAACGGATTTCTTTTTTCTAAGACACAAACAGCATTAGGCCTATTTGACGAAAGAATCTGTAATGGTTAATGAAATACTGATTTTTGTAAATATTATTTAAAAACTAGGAACTTTTCCCCCAGTTTTGTATATTCAAATATGTATCTCATAAACCATCATGATATGCTTCTCGTGTCTTACTAATATACTTTTTTTCCACCGGATTTGTTTTTAGTTTGAAACACAATGCGCTAAAAAAAAAGCAATATAAAGTGACGGTGGTTTATTAATACATACACACGTGTTATATCAATGTTTCTTCCTCTACTCTTGTTAATGTCATCAGATTTGCGGCTGAACATACCAGAGCAAAAGTTTAGTGGGTGGGGGGTGGGGTTTAACAACAATACGTCATGTATTATATTGTTTTTAATGTACCGGTAGTTCATTTTGTCCTGGGTTTAACATTAGTAAGTTTCTCTCCGGAAGATAACACTTAGAGATTGATTAAAAGTTCTTGGAAAATGAAATTTATCCAGGGTTAGACACTTGTTTTACTATATATTTCCTCTGTTAGTAATTAATAACCCGTACACGACCTAAGATCTCAGAACAGGTTACATGGTCCGGTTGTTTTCATATTGGAGTATTCCTATTGGCCCAATTTTTCATTAGGTTTTCCAAAGACGGAAGAACATTTACGCTATCTGTCGGGCTGGCGACATTTAAGCTTTCGATTTGTTTTCCCGATGCGACGCTAGAACGGAATCATTCATGCGTGACCGTCCTACCGGAGGTCCTACATTCGCTGCATACATTGATTTGGCCAAATTGCGTCCTAGAATCCACGCGACGAAGAGAACTTTACTTAACGTTCTCGAATGCGCAGTTGAATGTTAGTGGCATCATTAATTTCTACGTCCTACCGTCGCCGTGCAATCGGAAAGGTCCATATTAAACCTGTACTACAGTAATTACACTTAAACATGTGTGAATGTCCATTTCATGCGTTGCCTTTTGATAGTCTATACAATTTAAAGTGCTAAAGTTTATCAGGGGTTTAAACATGTTTGTCAAGCGAAAAATAATTAATGTACGTCATGAATACATTGTGATGGGTATGTGAAGACGCAAACCGTGTTTGGATTGAACAACACGTAGACAATTCATTCAGGTAAATGAATGTAAACAATAATTACAAAACGACACGACTTTGATTCTAATGGTTCACACATCAGAAGCTGCGTCGTAGGTATACTTTACTATTTATCACCACTAATAATGGGTGCTTCTACGGATGGCGATGCTCCTTCATGGTGGTATATCTACTTTTCCTTCCACTGAGCTGCTTCTGCAGTTGTATTTGTTGTTGATGTACTTTGCAGATGCCTTATGATTACCGTACTAGTATTCTATGTACTAAGCATGATAAATAAGAAACAGTGTGGAACATCCTTATGAAAACTTAATAAAAGTAATAAAGAGGACCACGTTCCCATGCATTGATTTTGTGCATGTGTCAAGACGAAGAAGCAGATAAGGAGGAGGAGGGTCAGTAGGAACAGGAGAAGAAAAAAGAAAGAGGACGAAGAACAAAAAAAAAAAAAACAAAAACAAAACAAAACAAAAAAAAATACAAGGATTATAAGAAAGATGGAAATATGAATAAGAATATATAATGAATGATTAATGATACAAGCACATGTAATATATTGTACTATTATATAGTATTTGCGGTAGTAACAGAAAACATCGAACAAACTGTCAAGGACGACCTCATCACGTCACTCGCATGGGAAAGTCGCCTGGCACGCGACACCATGAATGACGGAACCGCAGTTTTGTTTTTTTTTTTCTGCCAGGATGAACGCTTAAATTATATCCACGTTCCATGATCCACACCTGAGTACTGTAATGTGCACATGCGTTCATTTTGTGTCCAATCACGTGCGAAAATTGTCGAGCGTCAGTACCAGCTTGAAATGTCAAATATGTTATCAAGTATGCCTACTTATGTCGATCCATATAGGCTTGGTGCCATAGTTGTGGTTCCGTCAAGTGGTTTTCGGAGAAATATGAATATATTTCCTTAATCTTTGTTGAAGACCTTTAAGGTCTGTTGCACTATGACGATAACAATCAACGATAAAAAGCTAAAAAGCAATTATTCATATAGAAAATAAAAGAAATAAGAGAAGTTTTCACGCTAGCACGATTCGATAACGATTTATTGAATCATGTTATTATTTTTTTAAATCTGATAAAACCATAATAAACATTATTTGAAATATCTTATACACATCTAGATGTGTATAAGAGACAGATATATATATATATATATATATATATGCTGTATTACCACAAGACGGTTTAGAGTTTATCTCTATATTGTTGGCCTATAGCCATGATATATGTACATATAATATAAACAAATAAATAAATAATTATAACAGTGCTTGAATATATATTGCACCAATCCACGTCGCTCCTAATTTGTAACGAACCTATCAAATATTAAATACTTAATCATTGTTTTCCTTCATTCATTTTAAACTTAATGTTAATAAGAAAACGTGAAGACGCGCTGATTGCGTATTAGTTTCCCTAGTAAGGCTTAGGCCCAGATAATAAAACTAGGCCTATCCGGTAAACAATATAACCCTGATACTCATTATATTTCTCCATAAATGGCCTACCGTGCATGATCATTAGCCCCTTTTGTGAAGTTAATTGTGTTGAATAGGTATTTGTGTGCTAATTATCTTTAGTCCTTTTGTTACTACCAACAACATTTGTTATAACAATTTCGATAAAGTATGGTTATTTTGCAGCGATTAATTTATTAATCTATTTATTCATTAATGGCGCTAAAGATTACCGTTGATCATTGTCTGTGTAAAGGAAATGAGCACAAACGTAGGCCCCTTGCGTGAGGTCGGCCGTGGTGCGTTTAAACCACGACGCATTTCGGGTCAAGGTCGACGAGACTTCAGCATTTGTTGACGCTTTAATATATAAGAAGCCTGGTAGAGCCATCTATTGTTGCTTGACCTACTAACATAGAATAAATTCAAATTATATTTCTGGTTATAGTTTACCCATGGTAATTCAAAATAAGTCAACTAGATTATGTATCTAATTTAATATATCAAAAACTAGAGTATCGGCTGCCATATTGCTAAACAAGGTCTAATTATCGATAAATTACCAACAATACTGCAAGTTTAGTTTACCGAATGTGAATAAATCGTCTCTCATAGCGGAAAGTATTGATATTTGTCATAGCATTCGATCAGTGAACAGATACCGTTAATATTACATTAAATACTAGAGCTTAGTGTAAAGCCTTTAGAGAGATCTGTAATGTCCAAATAAATGTAGTATTAATATTATGAAAACAATAATTTGCATCTTGATCTAATGCAGCTAACGTTACTGAATCGGATATAGGCCTATTTAACATTATCCAATTAGATCCTTTACAGTAATCAGAATGACGTAACACTCAATATTCTCGGTGTAACTATCTAATTATACAACCAGCCTGCTACTTATCATCCTAAGGAGTTACAGTACATGCACATACACACCACGTCCCCTTGATAAAAAAAATGTCTCGGAGGAAGACACTCAAATAGACAAATTAAACAACTGAAATTTGATTGGCCCTTTGGACCCGTGATACATTTCGATATCGTATAATAATACGACTAATACCATTGGCCGATTTAAAAGTGTTCCACTGCTGAACCACACACTAACGTCATTTGACTTTTTAAAGTATAAAGATACAAATACATGCACAGTAACTTTTGACTCAGCTTAATACTGATAATAATAATAATAATAATAATAATAATAATAATAATAATAATAATAATAATAATAATAATAATAATAATAATAATAATAATAATAACAATAGCTAGGTGTACCTGTGATTCTTATAGCAACAAATTTCATGACCTCGATTAGGTTGTCATTAACGACGCTTGTGAATCTTTAAGCCAATCAAGGACCTTTTAATAATATATCGATGAGTGACATCTAATCGATCTACTTGGCTACTTAACCATCTTTAACAAATAGTTCAATTATTTTATTCCAGTCTGATAGTGGAGATGATTAAATGAAATGAAATTGGTTTATAATGACAGTATTTAATGATAAGCGATGAATCAATATATCAATATTATTATTTTTCTGATTGGCCTAACTATACTGTATACATTGCACATGTGGTTTTAAAACATTATAAAACTTTTCATAGCAAAGGTTATTTTTTAAATCCTTTGCACACTCGGAGGGGATGTAAATTCTTCACAAAAAATATTTGTTTTATAGTGATGTTCTATTTTCTTTGAAGTATGCATGGCGAATTAAGATAGATTTACTGTACTATGTATAGTTCTGAAAAGTCTACAAAACGTTTGTTTTCAGACCTCTAAGTCATGAACAGCAAATAAAATGATTATATTCATAACTGATACTAAATTGGTAATTGATACTGTAATCATTTAGCTTTGCTCATTAATATTAAGGTGCGGACACGACAGAATTGGTGAGTCGAAGACCGAAAAGGCGTCCATATTCTAAGCTGCAGTTGTTGCACCTTGAGAGGGACTTTCAACGTTGCATGTACCCGAGCAAAGAAAGGCGAGCATGGCTGTCGCAGTTTTTAAACCTTACAGAAAGACAGGTAGGTTGATTGGTCTTAACATTAAAAAAGTAGTATATTTACGCTTTCTATATCACATCACACCTATATACTGTATATTATCTTTTTATTTTTTAATTTTATATGTGTGGGTGTGTATGGGGGGGGGGGTGTGTAGGACAGGACGAAATATTCGTTCCAAATAAATTTATGTTCCTATAATACGTCAACTGTGTATATATGATTTTTATGATGTGGGTGTATGTGTGCGTTTAATATTATATTTTTTTATATTTTTAATCCAACCAACATATGTTGCCATTTAGAGAAGTTTTGAATATCTTTGCTTAGCTGGCACATGCTATTATTTTGCTGATGTTTCTATTTTCTAGGTAAAAATCTGGTTTCAGAACCGACGGACGAAGATGAAACGCACTATGGAACGCGAAGAGCGTGACAACGAGCAGATGCGACGCGACATGGCTAATCTTGCACTGAAGTTCTACGTGGCCTGAAAATTACTACGAAAACAATTATTACAGCAGTCTATCAACAATTCTATACGCGACACGCTTAATATAGATTCTGTGCCTTTGACGTGGTTAGGCCTATTCTGACTAAACGATTGGCTGTCTTCCATTACTAAAGCTGTTGTTTATGTACATAGCATTTTTGCCGACATTTGTCTATATTTTTATATAAGCCCGATCTTATGCAAGTGAGTAAACATTCCTGTATGATGTTCGCCTACACCGGAGACTAATACCAGAAGCTTAGAATAAAATTAAGCCTATTTAGATTATGCAAATATTTAAATATATGCAAATAAGGTCTCCGCTTACCCATTAAGTCATTTGTATTGAATGCCTGTAATTGCACTGTTTACGTGATCGTAACTGACAAAAATAATTCCAACATCTTGATATTGACTAACATTCCTAATTAAAATTGAGTGTGTAAAATGATATTAATTTTATTTTAAAAAATGTTGTTTTTTTTTACATAAGTGTAAAGTTCGCTTTCAACATTCCAATGTAACATTGTTCTGAAGATGTTAATAAACAATACCTTCAATATTATTGATGTACAATATCGAAAGCAGGTTCATTAATCTTAACATTATGTGATTAGAAAGAATGATGATTGCTAAGCGACACAATAATTATTATTCCATTGGCTTATTTATAGTATGCCACTAATAATGGATTCATCTGACATGACGTTTTTCACTTTTTTGACATTTGCTGTTGTTATGCGTGGGCAAGATGGTTTTGTGTTTTCAAGTACATTATTATGTTTTAGTGGCTTGTGCCTTTTTGTTTTGCACTTGTCGGTGGTCGCACCAGAGCGTAAGTGGATGTGGTAATATCTTGCTCAGAACCCCTCATGTGGTGTGGTGTCCAGGGTGGAGCCTCCGGAAGCTATGACACTTTATTGCTTTGGCAGGTTTATTTCATAAATTTTAGAGTCCAACAATCTGTCAAAAAACGTAAAATTGTTCTCCCCGACAGAATGTGTTTTCTTTCTGACGGGGCAGCTTTCCCCGACGGAGGCGCCCTGGTTCCCATTGTCCCTCTCCTCTGGCGCCACCCCCTGGTGCAACACCTGACACTTGTCTGCCTTTGATCGAGATTTTCATGGAACATTATGATCTAACAGTTTTTACAGATATCCAACACTGGTAATTTCTACTTATTGTAAATAATAATCAAAGTTAACCCAGTTTATCATTGTTATTACCGTTATTTCACATTTTAACTTTCTATTGTAATTTCTCTTAAAATGTATCAGTATTACATATGGCCACCAAACAATTATTGTTAATTTCTAATCGTTTCTATATTTTACTGTGTCTGTTGTAAATAGTGGCGTATCTAGGGGTGCTGTAATGGAGGATGATAGGGTGGGGCAGGAATGAAAGTGGGCGGGCTCGATGATTAAGTGAGGGGGCTTTAGCTAGCTAGCTAGCTAAATAAAATGATATCGAGGTAATTTTTTTACTACTTAAGCGTAAAGTTTTTGCTTTGGGAATTACCAGTGGGAAGGGGACACTTGGTAGGGAGAGGTTTGTTTTACTCCTCCGCGCACCCCCCTTTCTGTAGATACGCCATTGATTGTGAATATTTGTAGATATGCCTTATATGGACTTCAAATCCATTTTATTCTATACATTCCTTTAAATACATGAAGCTAGCGAATTGACACTGTAGGCCATATATTTTTCTGTGATCAAAGAGTGCCTGCATATCGCTGCATAGACCTTTGTACAAATGAATTAACCAAATGTCTGCAAAAACGCTATAATTTCTGCTGCAGTTAGTCATAGCGTGTATATAATATAATTGTGTAGGGAATTTTGTTTACTAGAAGACTTAATAGTGACGTTACGCAGATTTTGACAGGGCCAAATTATATCATTTGTCATCCAAAAAATGGGAAAATATTCCTGTATTTCTCAGCACACGTTTAACACATTTTCACAAAAGAGTTATTTATTTTGTATTGAATTATTTTATAAATTGTTACTAAATGTATTTTTTTTAACTAATGCATTTGTCAATTGTAATCCCAACACCCCTTCCCCCACCTGCGCAATAACGGGGCACTAGCCGGGACTAAGTTGTGGACGTACATTATTTGTGTCACCGCAGTGCCAGGATGAATCTGGGACTGACGTAGAAATGAATTGGGAGAGAAAGAAAAAAAATAGGAATAGGGTTTCAAGTATTTCCCGACTATAGATAGCAGGGACGAACGTAAAATTTTCTATCGAAAGTTACATTCCTAGCTGGGCCCGCCGGTTCGAAGGGAAAGGGTGGAGATACAATTGAAAAGTGCATAATAATATTTATTTACCACGAAGGGTTAAATCAACCTCTGATTTAAAATGATACTATTAGGCTGGAATCAGGTTAACGGGTGGGGTGGATGGAGGATGTTGTGTGGTTTCCTCCTATTATATATGTCTTTGGGCAAAATGGTCTGTAAAACATTTTTATGTAAATATATTTTAATATATTATTTTACAAAAGAAGACCATACCCAACGAAATAACATAATGTAACAAGTGCTCTTGATTAATGACGAAGTTGTTATGGATGATAACCTATAAATGTTATTACCGCAAGTGTATGAAATATAAATTCAAATTTCCAGCTGATTTACTATTGTTTTCTATGAGATGCTAACTTTTTTATTTGCAATCGTGTAAATATTTGTACAGTATACTTTCTATAAATAAAAAAAAGCAAAGAGGAAAGTTATAGAATTTATAAAAATGTTTCTTTTATTTGTGTGTAAAGAAAATCGGTCACGAATTAACTGATTCTTATTATAAATAGGCTTTTGCATGATAGTGATGTTGTGGTAATAATGATGATGATGAGGAAGATGTTGATCACAACGACCCGGTCAGAAAGTCGAATCTGTGTGTAAGAATAGGGACAATACCGTTCGGCGCATCGGAAACGCGGTTCGAATTTCGGATCGGATCCGATGTGAATCCTGCAGCAGTCTTGTTGATGCCTTTACGCTTCACGTTAGTATTATTACCCTGGTAATTGGATTAAACACTTATGAAACACATACACAGCTTGGGGAGTATTCCATAACGTTGTATTAGATAGTAGCACTCTGATATTTCTAACTCAGGTACCCACTGCTAGGCGGAGAGTGAGAGACAATGTGGGTAAAGCGATTGAAGGAGATAAGCGAAAAGCACGAAGATTCGAAACCTCGACCTCCAGGCTGAACGCCCAAGCCGCAACCGTTTCGCCAACTGATCTATTGGTGGTGGTGGTGGTGGTGTTGATGAGGATGATATTGATTGTGAAAGTGACTCAAAATAATCTAAACCACAGCACAAAACACACTCTTTTTTGTGACCCCCCTCCCACGTCTTGAAAGGATACACAATAAAATGATTATTGTCACTTTTTGATATGTATAAGGCACATATATTCATTGGATTTGTGATTGGTCTGGAGTTGAATAGCTTGGTGGCTAAGATGCTTGCCTTTTGATTTGCAGGGTCCTGGGTTCAATTCCTGTCAGTGTTGCAGGATTTTTTCTGACGACCAAAACAACTCCACTCCCTAAACTTCATATTGTGATTTAGTTTTGTGTATGTTTGTCACCTACAAGTAGGACAGTCATATATTCTCTATTGACAATCCTTGGCGCATGTGTTATGCACTTAAATAAATAAATAAATAAATAAATAAATAAATAAATAAATAAATAAATAAATAAATAAATAAATAAATAAATAAATAAATGAATGAATGAATGAATAAATGAATGATAAATAAACAAATAGGCTTATTATTTATTACTAAAAATTAAGATAGTTTACAGAAATATTATATTGCTAAGTTAGGCCTACTGTATTTGCACATTAGTTCAATCAGGTAAGATAAGCTCATTGACAATTTACTGTCTTCACACAAGGATAAAACTTTGGAAATATATTGAAAACTATCTTAAAAGTACCAGTTCTATACGAAAATTACCCGTTTACCAAATTCAAAAGGCGCAGAGAAGCAAGAAATATTGACATGCACTTCCTTAGGTCTTGCTGCGATGGACGGTGGTTTATCTGTGTATCTACCCAAGGGGGTGGATTAACTAATCAAAATGTATATCATCTTTAAGCCCACAGATGCTAATCCGTTGTACTTGAAATTGTAACAAAACAAGCCGTTATTTTCACCAGAACGGCCAAGTTCATGATCAGAACTACAATGGAAATAAAGATGTACTAATCGGTAGGGCTAGATGCTGCGATAAGAAGGAGGTAAGGCTAATAATAAAGAACACGGCATGGGGATTTGCACACTTGTTATGTGATGTCGCACTCACATATGGTTTAGAAATTTAGTAAGACTACCAGATTAACATATGGACAAATATTGATTGATTTAGAATCTTCTGTTCAGAATCCTTGGATGACGTAATAAACAATGATATCATTTGATTGATTCATTGTTTTCTTTAAATATATATATCCTTTGTTTTTTCTTCACTTTTGTTTGTTCGCTCATGATATTCGACGATTGAGTAGTCGCACCGTAAAAATTAAAAGCAAGGTAACAAGCGATGATTTTTGTTGTCTTATAATACAAAAAATGTGATTGATGGATGATAAAAAAGTTGTTACCATTCCATCCTAAGGGTTTAAACGAGGTATATATGTCAAGCAGATAGTCGAATATTTTAAGGTGTTTATTGCAAATCGGAAAGCGGATATCGTATACCCATGGAACACTATGGATATGACCTACTTAAAGGAACTTTTGTTTGGTCAGAGTTTGTTGCTAACTAACAAATCATTTATGAGTACTGCAAACTTCAGATAGGCCTGTCTACCCATTATATTGGTGATAGGTCTAATATTTCTATCAATTATCACATTTCTTTCAATTTGATTACTTAATGATGTTAAAAAAAGGTTTATATCATGTTTAACAAATAAAATGAATGCCGAAAGTGGTAATTATTCACCGTTGGTATGTCCCTGGCGATGTATTAACCTATCATTATATTGGTGATAGTCTAATATTTCTATCAATTATCACATTTCTTTCAATTTGATTGCTTAATAATGTTCTAAAATAAGGTTTTATATCATGTTTAATAAAAACAATGAATGCCGAAAGTGGTAATGATTCACCGTTGGTATGTCCTTGGCGATGTATTGACCTATCATTATATTGGTGATAGGTCTAATATTTCTATCAATTATCACATTTCTTTCAATTTGATTACTTAATGATTTTCTAAAATAAGGTTTATTATCATGTTTAACAAATAAAATGAATGCCAAAAGTGGTAATGATTCACCGTTGGTATGTCCCTGTCGATGTATTGTGGTCTTAATTCGCTAAAACCCGTCGCTTGTGTACGAAACGTTTGGTGGAATTTACTCCAATCTCTTAAGTACAGATCGTGACTTGGCTACTGTTTATCGATTTAATATGCATGAATACCTAATTGGACTTGTATCCAATATACATTAGTTACACGCTACTATATATAAAACTGCGTTATTTATACTGTATACAAAGTATACATAATACATCTTGTCTTCAATAGCTCCGTAAATATCGCATTTGATGATTTCTGAAAATATAAAATAAC